AATGTGCTCATTACACTGTCCTGCGAGAAATTTGGCCTAAGAAAAACAGTGATAACAGTAATAATCTATACAAAAAACCGAGGCTTAAATTTTTTATGTTTATGATAACTTCATTTTTTCATTAAATATTATATATTAGATTTCTGGGCACCTGCTTTTGCTGTATAGTGTGTATACAAACATGGCGACAGGCTGGCTGCTTTTTAACTGCGTGTAGAGTTAGCGGCTAATTTTCTTGAAATTAGACTTCGCAGTTAACATAGCAGCATTAAATATGCATAGCTAAGGGAGGGGAACGGGTTAGAAGAATAGGGAGTGGAAGAGCCAAGAGTAGAATTTGGCCTGTTCCGTCGAGTGTTGTTCTACATTTTGTATATATGTAGCTGTGTAATTACGCGCTGTAGTTGGGTTGGAAAAAATTGTGATTAATGTAACATTTACACGCTCACGCATGTGTATGTATATATACAAATATATATGTATGTATATAGGGTGCTGATTTAACAGCTCCGCCTCATTAGACGCGCACATTGTGAGAAATTGTGAAGGTACTTGGCAAAGTTCATTGCACTCTCAAGCAATAAGGCAGAAGAAAAGAAACAACAATTCCACTTATAGTTTTTCACATCTTAATGAGCTAATATGGAGCATACATAATAAAACCCGAAACAAAAACAGAAAACAAAACACAAAAGGCAAAACCAGAAACTGAACCAAGCACAAGACACACAGAACAGCTTTTTGACGAAAGCGAAAGCCGAACACGAGCGACAGTTGCGTCGCTCTCGCTCCCACCCATTAAACAAGTGGTTTGCTGGAAGAGGTCAACGTTGAATTGATTATGAAATTTGACACACAAATGTTCAAGATCTTGCGCTCTTCTGCTACGTCTCTCTCCCTCGCTCACTCATTCTCTCTTCAGCCGACAAGTGCTGGCAAACATATGACTGCGCTTGCAATGGAAACTAACTAACTGTTCTCACATAACAGTGCACTCACATATAAAAATATTTCTGTTTGAGCAGTGATAAAAATCATTGAATAATTAAATAGACGAGCTAAATATAAAATATTTAATATATATGACACTGTGATTTTTAGCTATACATTTTTATTTTCAAAAAATGTTAATTGTTATTGTGCTCATTATATATTGTAGCACGCAAGTTCTGCTGATGTCAGCTAGTCAGCGCGTTGATGACTAATGAATAACTCCAAGGGAAATGAATATCTCCTTATCAATATATATAAAGTTTTTTAAAGCGTTCATATGGAACGAAATAGATATTTCTTTATAACCGTACATTGATTACAAACTATGTACTATGTCTATACAAATTATATCTATGATGACATGCGCCGCACTTTCTGCTGTTCATTTTATTTGACTTTCCGATTAGAGTCACAAAGATTTATAGATAATATCGCATGTTGATAAGAGGAAAATAACCAAAATAACATTAAAAAGAAATTCACTGAAATTGGACGCAATCACAATTATTGAAATAAGCAATTGAAGCGTTTAAAGTCGCTTTATAATTTTCTCTAATGCGGACTAAGCGTACGGCACACGAGGCGTGATTCACGTCGAAATAAAGCGTGAGCGCCTGCGTCTGATAACAATTTGCTTATTGGCATACTTCAAATTAACTACAGTATATACTCAGTAAGTGTTTCGGGAATTACCCAATCCAGGTACAAAAGGTTGTTAGTCATACATATGGAAAGTATAGTAAATGGAAAGTATAGTAAAAGTTTATATACAATATTTAAAAGTTACTATACATAAGTATACCATTTATTCTAGATTTAATTATTCATTAAAATTATATAAGAATATACCGTACTATGTTCCGGGGCCTGTTCGTTTAATTGGGTTTTCCAGACATACCCACAATTGTAAAGGTATGATAAAGTAATCAAAGCTCTAAAAAATTTATAATATGATTATATACTTTATCTTAACTTAACATATACATAGGAAGTTTATCAGAATTTGTAGAAATAATTTAATGGAATTATATGTGCCAATATACTGAACTTTATATTTTACAGATTTTTTCTAATATTTGAATCTTTTGTATCTATCCAATAAATCGGCCTTAAAATTATATTTAATTATAAAATAATTCTTAATATTCCATTTTTCCTCGGTGAATATAACAGTTATAACAGTTCAATAGCATAGCTGACCAGACGATAGGTTGGCTTTATCAATGTTTTGCTGTAGTCATTATATCAGTTGCACAGGTGTGTTTTTTAAGGGGAGCTCAGTGTACTCACGTTATTCCACATATACATTTCCATATATACATATCCATAATACTAAGCTAATATATTATTCTATCTATATATGGGCATATTCGCATTGTATATAGGTATTGTTACTTACGGTAAATATGCTGCTCTTGTGCGCTCGATTGCGAATGACGAGGCCCGCCAAAGGCTTCTTCACATAGATTTTGGGCATCTCGTTTGATCTGCTAGATACGTGGCCCAGCAAATAACTGTTTGTTTAAGGTGTATTTGTGTGTGGCTGTCTGCGTTTAGGAATTGTGTTTTCGTTACAGTTGGGCTAATCGCAGCCGTTGCTAATAGCCGAGAAGGAGCCGAGGCGGGTTGTTTGGTTGATTTTTTTTTTGTTTTTTGTTTTTTTTTTTTTTTTTTTTTTAATGGGTGTCACATCAACAACTACAGCAACTTGCATACATTACACTTGTAGCTTCTACTTTGTTAATTACTTAATATTTTGGAGTATTCTATTTGTTGAGCAACAACAAGGCAGCGCGCTGGTTGTCGATGTCAATGCCTGCGCTTGTTGGCAATTTAATTGGCGGCTGCATCATCCCACTGGATGAAACGTCTCAGCATATAAATGTTTCTTAATGTGTGTGCGTGAGAATTTATAGCAACACACCGCTGACAACACCTCTTCAAGGCGGCAGCACTTTTAATTAAAATTGTACAAAACTAATTCGATTTTTACAGAAAATTTAATGCGTTCGTTTGCAAACACGGGCCGAAATGCGAGCACAGCGTCTTTGTTACCGCTAAATAATGGCAAAACGCGTTTGGAGCTGCTTATTCTAGGATTGCCAACCAGAATCAATATCGATACTCAGTCGGACAATTTATCGATAGCTATTGAGTATTCTTGTTTTGGTTGTTTTGAAAAGAATGCAATTGAAGAGAGTTGTCAGTGTATCGCAAAATAGTATCTTATCGATAAGTGCAGAAGATCCAATATACCATCTTGAGTTGATTTTGTTTATTTTCATTTTAAAATATAATGCAATTTGCTTGACCGTTGGGTATGTTAAATAGCTGATGCTTATGTTGTTCATGAATAAGTATTTTATTATTATATGTGTTTGTTTACTTGTAGCAAGAAAATGGTGCGAGTATTGTTTCTGCATCCAGATCTGGGAATCGGAGGCGCAGAGCGTCTTGTTGTGGACGCAGCCTTGGCACTGAAGGAGCGCGGCCACGCGGTTAGCTTTTTAACGAATCATCATGACAGTACGCACTGCTTCAAGGAAACTGCCGATGGCAGCTTTCCTGTACAGATTGTCGGCGATTGGCTGCCACGCAAGCTCTTTGGGCGTTTCTATGCAATTTGTGCCTATGTACGGATGATCTATGCGGCGTTCTATGCCAGTTTCTTTATGCCCGAGCGTAAGCAGGTGGATGTGGTTATCTGTGATTTGATTTCCGTGTGTGTGCCAATATTGAGACTGGCGCGTCATCGGCCTCGTGTGCTCTTCTATTGTCATTACCCGGATCAGCTGCTGAGTACTCGAGAGGGTCTGCTGAAGCGTTTATATCGAACACCTCTCAATTGGCTGGAGGAGCAGACCATTGGCCAGGCGGATAAGGTTTTAGTGAACTCCAAGTTCACATTGCGCGTCTTCCAGGACACATTCCGACGGCTACAAGTCGTACCCGATGTTCTCTATCCTTCATTGCATACCCAGTACTTTGATCAAATGGAGCGAAAGCTGGAGCAGCGATCGGCATTGTTAGATGAGCCAGTGCATCCACGTGTGCCACGCAACTCCTTCATCTTCCTGGACATCAATCGCTATGAACGCAAAAAGAATCATGCACTGGCTTTGCATTCCCTCAACCTGCTCCGGGATTTGCTGCCCTTGCCGGATTTCAAGAGATGCCGTTTGATCATTGCTGGTGGCTATGATACGCGCTGCACAGAGAATGTGGAGCATTTCGCAGAGCTGGAGCAGATCACAACTGATTTGCACTTAGAAGAGCACGTGGTGCTGCTGCGTTCACCCACAGATGAGGAGAAATGCAATTTGCTGTATTCCGCACATTGTCTGCTCTATACGCCGGAGAACGAGCACTTTGGCATTGTGCCACTGGAGGGCATGTATTTCTGCAAGCCGGTGGTGGCTCTCAACAGTGGTGGACCCACTGAAACGGTTGTGCACTCCTCCACAGGATTTCTGTGTGAGAATCAGGACAAAAGCTTTGCCGGTGCCATGCATCAGCTGTTCACAGATGAGGGATTGCGCTCGAAGATGGGCGAACAAGGCCGCAAGCGAGTGCAGCAAAAGTTCTCCTTTGGAGCGTTTGCGGATCGTCTCAATGAAATTGTCCAGGAGTTACTGGCAAACAAGAAAGATGAGTGAATAAATGTGTAAGAACAGCAAATGAGGAGTCAGATGGGACTGGAGTGGGAGCCGAAATTATCTTAAATACAGATCTGTTGGAAAAGGGAGAGTACAGAGGGCCAAATGGGGAAGTCTTCATGCTTACGCTTATCTAGCTACTCAATGTAGCTATCTCTCAAATGGCTCAGGAGATTCGCTAGGATTCACGATTCACTGGACTTTCGCTGATAGATTCTGGGGTTGTTGCTGTTGCGGATGCTTTGCCTTTATTTCATCTTTCATTTATATATATTTATATATGCTTAYATTTTATATAATTCATACAAATCCTAAGAATTGCTGCTTGGGGGAGATCATCTCAAATTCTGCCGCTGCTTTACTCATCGCGCATATACAGATACAGGTAGCCCAGATCCTTGGGTGGATTCTGTGACTTGGCTACCTTGGTGTCGTTGAAGATCACCCACTCGCCCTGTTTGCGTATGTGGCAGACATAGTGACCCACCTGGGCAGAGGTGCCCATGTGAGAGATGAACGCCACCAATTTATATTTTCCGGGCCCATCGCGATAAGAGCTCCCCGCTGCAGTTGTGGCGGCTGTAGTGCAGGCTGGTGCAGCCGCTGGCGCATCATCAATGCCGGCGTCGGCATGCGAGAAGATCCAGTCGGTGGCTCGCTCCACATTGCCATCGGTGGCCTTGAGGGCGGCCGTCGCTTGACGCTCGCCAAAGCCCATGCTCATGAGCATGGCCAGTGACTCGGGATTGGCAACGAAGGCGGAGGCGGCGCCATCACCAATGCGATTATTTGGCACCTCGAATGGATCGGAGATATCCGCATCGGCAATGTGTTCCATTAGCCAATTGGAAGCAGCCTCCAGTCCGATATTCTGCGTATGGAAACAGGCGCGTTTGCATGCCTCCTGTGGGAAGCCCATGTTGACCAGCTCCGACATCACATTCTCATCGAAAACAAACGCTGGGGACGCTGCAGCTGCAGGTTCAGGCAGTAGTTCCTCTCCTGGTTGAGGTCCAGTCGAGCGCCAGACACTAAGATCCAGCTCATCCGGCATATCCACAGACACATCAAGCTTCTTGGGCACCCAATCATCGCCGAGCGTAAATTTGCCCAGATGAATCATCAAGAAATCCGGCATGGTGGCCATGCGCGTCGTCTTCTTGGCCGTCGTCTTGGCATTTATGGCCGTCGAATAGAACTGGTCGATGATCTCGTTGCCAAAGAAACGCTCCAGACATGCCTGCAGCGGAACCTTGTGCCGCACCAGCTCACGATCCGGCAAACGTTGCCCACTAGCTCGTGCTGCCTGCTCTCGCTCCTGATACTCGCGCACCTCATCCAGATTGGTGGCCTGCTCAAGGGGAATCGGCAGTCGGAAGCTGTACTCCTCACGTGTCTTATATTTGACCTTGTGACTGGCCATGCACTCGACACGATCCTCCAGCTGGAATTTGAGAGCATCCGCCGGATTGAATTGATTGCGGGAGTTGCGGTCGAGCAGTGTTAACAAATGCAAATAGAAATCATTGGCGTCCTGCTGCTGCTTGGTGCTAAACTCGGGATGATTCTTGCCCACAATATTCTTAAACATGGCCGGCGAGATGCCCGTCATGTGCTCCATGTCCAGCGTGTTGCCCACTAAGCTGCTGTACTTTCCCGACAGCAATCCATTGCCCAGTTTGGCCATCTGTATATTGAAATCATTGGCCGGATCACTGGGAAAGCTCTTGAAGTACTGATCGGCGCCGCTGCCAACGAAACGCTTCTGGAAATCAGGGATGACAAAGAGCACCTGCATCACGCTGTTTATGTAGCAGGAGTTGCCCAGATTTCGCATGCCCGTATAGCCAGGTCCGGCCAGCGGTTGCAGCTCGCTCTCGCTCTCCGTCAGCGCAGACCATTCACCAATGCGCTGATTAATCTCCAGCTCCAGCTCGACCATGGATTTCTCACACTTCTGCATGGCCGCCATATTGATGCCAAAGTGTTGTAAATGCTTGCTCAAGTGCGGATCTAAGACCATATCGTCCTCCGGATAGGAGAATACATCCGATTTGCCATCGGCCGAAATTGTACCAAGCTTAACGGCCAGCGGATAGCCAGTCTCTCGATAATGCTCTACAGCGTGATCATTGCCTCCGCTGCCATCAAAGAACTTGCGTCCACATAGGATGGAGCCGTCTGTTAGATTCAGCCACAGATTGTTGGTCAGATCGCATTTCTCGCACTGCCAGCCAGCTGGCGGTATCTTCTTTCCATTGTCCAGCTGTTGAAGATTCTCTGCGTACTTCGAGGCCTGACGCACCTCACCATCCCATGTGCCTGCAAAGATGGTCAAGTTAGTTTAACGATGTTCAAGATTAATCAGAGATGTGAGACTAGCTTCAGTTTATAAATGGCCAATCAGCGAAATTCGATATGAGCGTCTTCTTCACTCACACATACATATCAAAGAGCAATTGACTGTAAGTAAATAAAATGTTCTGCAGTGCGAGCGAATAAGAGCAGCAGCCATCGTCCTCGATCTTATTGCGCTCGAGCAATTGAGGATAAACAAACGCAGAGCGTATGTGGTGCAAGCGAATAAGAGTAGAGGCCGTCGCACTCAATCATAGTAGGGGCAAATATTTGCACCGATACAAGTGTGAAGTTATTGTTTCAAATGTCTCCAGTCACTGTTTTAGAGTTGATGACTAATGCTTTAGCTTACCGGTGAGTGTGGCCTTCTCGAGCTTTGCTATGGCAGAATCTGCTTCAATGATTGCCTCCACCGCTTGGGTGACTCGCATGGGCAGCTCGGGATCTGGATAGGGCAGCTTCTTATCCAGATGGGGGGCCACCACAATGCTGTACGTATCCTTAATCTCGTACTTCTTAGCCAAATCAGTCTCATTGTAACCGCCCTCGACGCCAATGGCAAGACGCGTAATTTTTCGCTCCGGCCCGGCTTCCGCTTCGTCCAACTGCGCCTTCACATTGGACTCGCCATCCTTCAGTTTCCGCTCGCGTTTAATGTGCAAAAACACAACATTTCCGGTCTTAGCGGCATATTCATTCACGTACGCCTCCCCGAAGCCGAGGAAGCTTTGCAGGCAGACGTAGAGGCCCGTCGGCGTCTCCGGGTTGTCGTAGGAGAAGACGCACTCGTCTTTGTAAATTGGTGGATTGCCACACGGTACGTTTACCTTTGATAAATGCTTGCGTAGCTCTTCCATAACTTGCAACAAAATTTATGTTTTTATTTTTAACAAATTGTGAAATGAAAATCTATTGAATTTCCTTGCAGCTGCTGCTGCGACGCTTTTGCATTACTTGGCAGAATTCGAAGAGATGCCAACCTGCTCAAAATACCACCCCGCCAAGTTACTCACTGATACATATACTCACTCTACTTTGCCGGCAGTCAGCCAAAAGCTGACTGCTACGTTATTTAAGCAAACAATTTGAAATGTTCGTTAGAAATTGAATATTCATAAATTGTGTTCTACATTTTCATTTATTTTTTTTTTTTTAAATTTTAAATTCAGATTACATGCTTATGTTTGTTTTGTTTTTTTTTTTTTTGTATTTCGATAAATATATATATACTATAAATATATATTTTTTTTTTTTGTTTGCAATTTGTTTTTGTTCTTGCTGATTTATTTGTTTTTTTTTTTTTTGTTTATATCGGCATTTTATTTGCTTACTTGGCTAAAACACAGATTAACACGATTATTTGATGCTCTTACTATAATCAATGCTTCAATACATCAAGTATATTTATTATACATAAAAATACGCACACCAAAAATTTTTACCACAATTATCTATCGAACTTCCCCCCATTTTTTTTTACTTTGGTAACAGTTTTACTTTTTTATATTTTTATTTAAAGTACAACAATAAGTTTTAAGTAATAAGTTGCATAATTTATAATTCAATTATGTTTTTTTTAATTCATGTTAAGAGATATATGTATCAATATGTTATTTAATATTTTTTTTTTTTCAGTGTATTTTTTTGTGTACGGTGCAAAAGATGTAGAAAAAGATGTGGCCGCTAAATTTGTTGTTCAATGTGCGTTTCTCTTTAAGATTTAATCATTATCGTTCATCATTATCATCAATATTCATCATTAATGCCGGAGGTTCATTTCACAAATATGTAAAAAAATACATTTCAAACGCTTTTCTCTGTCTTCAAAAACTTCTTCAATCGCTGACGTATTTAGCTATGCTAAATATTTATTGTTTAAATTTATGCTTGATATATGTGTTTTTCTTCATTTCTTTTTTTTTTTTATAAGTTCACGGTGTGTGTGTATGCATCTGTGTGTGTGTTTTTTTTTTTTTATGTATTAAGAAACTGATTATAAAATGAAATCGTTTAAACTTTTTTTTTGTAACTTTCTCAAGTGCATTTTGTTTCTGTTTTTTTTTTTCTTTTTTTTTTTTTTATACATTTAATCAAATCCTGGTCCATTTTAATGTGTATTTGACTTGACCGATATATGAGTGTATATATATATATTAACTGTCAAACCAACGTGAAAAAAAATGACTTATCGCATACGCTACTATTCTGTACATGCCCCTAGAAAAAAAAAATCTAACTAAGAAAACTATAACGCACACCGAAGACAGATATTATAAAAAAATACTCTGTCAAGTTATCTGTCTAAAACCATATTTTAATTAATTAAAAAAAATATATCTTTTGTTACCTTTCACTTTAAGATCAAAAACTTATTAAGATTAGAAATATATATAACATACATTATATATAATAAACATTGGGGCTGACAGTTGTGAATGAGTGTGGGATAGTGTATAAGAATGATGTTTAAAACAATAAAATCATAATGAGCGAATATAAAAATTAAAACAAAATTTCTTTTCATATCTGAGTAGATTTAATGCTTATTTACTTTTATTCTTTAATTAAAAAAAAAACTGAAAATGTCTATTCTGTTTTTTTCTTTTGATTTACTTTTAAAGCTTAAATATTTTATATATATTAAAAATAGACGTATATATGTATAAAGTACAAATACGTGTAAGTTTTTTTCATATAAACATAATTTAAAGCAAACTTAAATTAATTTTAAAATGTTTCTTGCACTGTTTTGTTATTCTTATTATGTTTAAAGATAATTACAGAAATCACCTCGATTTAGTTAAATTAATTAAATAACTAAACATGCAAATGAACCTAAAACTAAACGTACCCATTAAATACTTTAACTTTTATATATATATATTATATGTATATAAATTGTGATTGGTTGGATTTTGTTTTGTTTTTGTTGATTTGATTTTCTTCTTATGTTTTGTTTACTTTGATTTCTTTTTAAGTATTTCGTGTATTGCTTTTTGATTGTGAGTAATTTCTTTGTAGGAAAAGTATAAATGTATAATATATAAAAAATAAAGTAAAAGTATTTTGAAAATAGGAAATTAATTTAAGAAATGCACATCATATATATTATTTATAGTCATATATACGTATTCTTGAGCATATAATACTTTTGCTTTGCATTTAACACAAAAAAAGAAAAATCGTAAAAAAAAACAGTTTTGGAAGCAGTACAAGCATAGTTTAAACGATTGGCATTTAAAGAAATTATATATTAATTTAAATAACTTAAATGTTCCTTTTGTTTGTTTCTTTCACATCATTCGGAAATTTTTCAAACAGCCCTCGTACATGTAAAATAATAATTGGAGCATGAACAAAAATAAATAAATTACAAGCTACATACAAATTAGGACTTGAGTATGTGTGTGTTGGTGTGTGTGTGTGTGTGTGTGTGAATCAGACAAATTGCGAGGCGGAGCGCTCACTAGAAATTTGATTTTCTTTTATCTCTTGTTTTCTTTTTTACGGATGGACCCAAAACATGTTGTTTTGTATTTTCTAAGGAAACTACAATCAGCATAGATTGCAGTACTTTTCTTATATAACTTTTGTTTTCTTTTGGAATTCAACACTGCGCGTGTGTGTGGTGGCTGTGGTGTGTATGTGTGTGTTTCATTTGCTGAGTGGATTGATAAGCTGTAATATTAAATCGTTCTGCTGCTTGACTATCTTGTTCAGCGTGTCCAACCACTCGTTGTAGCTGGCCTCCGAGCTCGCCCGGCACTCAATCGAAACGGGTGGCTTATTTGGATCCGTCGATTTGATACGAAAACTGTACGAGCTATCCTTCAGACTGTGCAACTGCATGTGATTCAGCTGTCATTAGAAGAGAATCAATTAATATTCACAATAGTTCGAATTCTATTCGAATTTGATCTAGCTCACCTGTATATGCGTACGATATTTGAATACGGGACTGCTAAACTGCGTCTTTTGCTTTTGTATGTCCGCAAAAATGATGACCTGTTGGAATAGAAAGACCTGCAGCTCGCGCTGCTTCTGGCCCGCATCGATGGCACAGGTGAGTGTGCCCTGCAGGAACAGATTGCCCTGGGCCGTAAGCTCGCCATCGAAGTCTTGCAGTCCGCGCAGCACCATCATCATGTCGTTGACCTTCTTAACCACATCCTTCATTTGCTCGCTAGCCTTCATCAGCGTGGCCACCTCGTTTTGCAGACCCGCTCGCTTCGTTTCGCGCAGTATCTCATTGATCAGCAGCACGTATTTTGTGATGCGCTGCACAGGCGTTATGATCAACGTGCTCAACTGCCAAAAAACAGAGATCGAAATTAATGTTTTATCTATTATTTAGACCAGTTGCACTTACATCCATGCGATGTCCCAGTTTCTGGCGTATCTGATCGAAATACTGATAATGCGCATTGACTATAAACTCCGATAAAGGCTTATTGCTGCAGAAGTAATAGTACATGGTGAACTTCTTGGCAGAGCTCTCGATGAGCGGGCCCAACTCAGCTGGTGACTTTTGACACTGGCGCAACAGTATCAAAAATTTACTAAAAGCAAAAAAAAAATTAAGAATTGTAGTTAGTTAACAATAATTCAAGCATGTTATATATATGTTTAACTCACTCTCTGTGCCATTCGTAGATCTCTTTGATATTATTGAATACCAAATCCATTTTGCCACCCAACAAGTCCACAGGTCTCGGTATGTCTTTGTTGTGTATTTCCTCCATGTAGCTGCAAAGGAAATTCGATACACATTATAAATTGCAGCTTGAGGCAACTTTGATTCACTTTGACTTACCCATTGACTATCTTGGACAGATCCTGGACATACGACTCCTCGGTAGCCACCAGCTCATTTAAAGCCAATTGACGTCTGTTGAGAGCGCTCGTTTTGCTATCGCTGGGATCTGTTTTGTTCTATAAATGAATTTCGCTTAGTTTGCGTTTCTTTTGTTCAGTTGGTGGATATATAGTATGCGATGCTTACCTTGTCATTGTTATCCTGCACAAATCCCAATTCGGCATTTGAATGGGCACGTCCATTGGTGGCCGCATTGTCTATGGCGGCGCCCTCGCCGCCAGCCTCACCTGCCGCACTGCCATCGACGCGGCTGTTCGATTCGTGTTGTTCCTGTCAAGTTGCGAAAAGTTAGAATGCACTCGAAGTCTTACAATGTCGATTCAAGTTCTTCAACTGTACTTACGCGGCTCATTCTGACAATTTGTTCAATTTCCGATAGCGGATTGCCCTCTATCTTGCCCGTGCTTGTCTGCAAGTAGAAACAAGAAATGTAACGGGAAACCAGCATTAGAAACAGGATACACAAGCAGTTGATGCAGCTTTCAGCTTGCAACTTGTTTTTTTTAACAGCTGCTGCCCACTCGAAATGCAAATATGGTAAACTCAATTTTTTTTTGATTTTCCAACGGGCTCTAATTAAAAAACTTTTCTCTGAACTTTTTTTTGGCTAGGGCCAAGGAATTCGCATATTTGCATGAAGAAGGTTGTTTTTTTTTTTTACTGTGAATGCGAATGCGAACACAAACTACAGGTAAGACTACACGTCGAGCTGGAAGTTCTGCCCGTTTTCGCTGTAAACAAATATCATCATCAGCAGGCAAATAGCAAACAGCAGGTGTTTATATTAGGGCTGGCAAAACAGTTTCAAAATACAAAATACTGTCTAGATGGCCTGAATAAAAAGTGGCTTTTATAATATATTCCATTGAATTAAAAAATTGTGATTTTTAGAATAAAGAATAATTCTACAAAAATTTTAGTTTATATTAAATATTTGTGTTAGAAGTTTCACAGTACTTTATTTTTATTTATGTGATATATTTCTATATTTGATTTTAATTTTTAGAATAAAGAATAATTCTACAAAAATTTTAGTTTATATTAAATATTTGTGTTAGAAGTTTCACAGTACTTTATTTTTATTTATGTGATATATTTCTATATTTGATTTTAATTTTTAGAATAAAGAATAATTCTACAAAAATTTTAGTTTATATTAAATAT